AGTTTAGCACATTGAACGAAAAGAAAAGAAACAAAATAAAACAAAACAATCTTTACAGTCCCGGGTCCTGACTACATAATGTAATAATCAGGAAGTGAACATCAGTCGATATTGCAATAGACCCAAACAGACGTCCAAGACAGCGAAAGCGACAGCGACGTCAACGTCGACGTCGCCTCTTGTTAATGCATTGGACAATGCGGCTTTTGTTATAAACTGTTTCCCTGTCTCCGTCTCTGTCTCTATAGCCTGTCCCTGCCCTTTATTTGTGTCCTCTCTTTTTTTCGTTTTCTGCCAGCCGTCTGCTCAGTTGCCATTTCGCCTGTCTAGACCAACAAAAGCGGGCAATTTTTGCACTTATTGATATTCACCAACAGAAGGTTTCTCTGCTAACTATTGTCACAGGCAACCAGCCAGCCAGCCAGCCAGCCAGCCAGGCAGGCAGCAAGTCAGCAAATATTCTATTAGCTTTGAAAATATACATGATATGACAGGCAGCTGCTAGTAGGTATACGAAAGATCTAACCCGAAAAAAAGATATGTTGAAAATAAATCTTCGAACGAGACAATGTCTAAGTACTTTACAAAATGCATACAAATTAGTCGCGCCTCACAATTAGCCAATTTTAATGTTATAGATATATAAAAGGTATTCGATTAGCCCATATATTAATATTCTGTGTATATATTTTAAGTGTTATGATTAGACTTAAGAAAGCTTACTTAAGCTTTTCTGCATTGCAAACGGTTTAACCAAAGTTCTTAAGCTTTATCTACCTTGCAAGCGTATGAGCGCAACAGGCGTTTGTAAAAAAATAAAAGCTTAGAAGGAAGCCCGTTAAAGCTTTTGGCTAGGCAACAAGTTGGAGCCACAGGAACAGCAACAATTGAGAGAGACAACAATGGAGTGTGCTTGCGTAAGTATGTGTGCGTGTTTGAGAGAGGCAGTCAGGGAAAGGTGTTAGGTTATTCACACACACACACACAAACACATATACATATATGTACATGGGCAACACACCTGCCGTTAAACTTTCTTAAACATCAACGACGTCATCGTCTTGATTGTGTGTTGTTTTTCTAGAATGTAATTTAACAAACAGAAGCACACAAAAATATACACACACTTGGTCTTATGCATATAGTATATGGTGTACAGTATGTCAATAAAGTGTTTTTACTAACAAAAAAAAACTAATTTTTTGGGTTTAGTTGAAAATAAATGTACCTAAAAGTGAGAATTTTTTTTTCAATTATAATTTATTCGATTCTATATTTCTCCTAGAACTTAATGGCAAAAAGAATTGTTAAATAACATTACCCAAACATTTTATAAAATTAAAAAAACTAAAAACATTCACATTTTATGCTGTCAATAAAGTGTTTTTACAGCTACGGTAAATTGTTTTGCCGTTCTCTTTTGGGTGATCCCGTTAGATTTGGGCCCATGCGTTTTGGCTTCTCTTGTGTCTTCGACTTTTCTTGTCATTTTCTATTGCAATTTATAACGTTTTGCTTTAATTTTATGAAAAATAAAATGCCAGGAAAAAGAACAACTTTTGAAGTCGCTCAGCTGGTGTATTATAACCATCAGATGTGACGTCAAGTCTCGGAACTGGCTGATATGTTTAATTTATCAAAAGCAACGATATACAAACATATTAAACAGAGCCAATAAGGAAGATAGGCTAGAGGCAAAGCCAGTATGTGGTCGACCCTGCAAAATTTCTGACAGAGATAAGCGAAAAATTCTGAGAAAAATTGAGAAAAATCCACAAATTTCGCTTAGGGATATTGCTCAGGAGTTCAAGGAAGAAAGTGGTGTTGATGTGTCACATGAAACTGTCCGAAAATTACTGAATTCCAATGACTACACATCACGAGTTGCCAGGAAAAAACCTCTACTATCGGCGGCGAATATTTTGAAGCGGCTATCGTTCGCTCAAGTCCATGTAAATAGTTCGAACGATTTTTGGAGTAACGTCATATTCTGTGACGAAAGCAAGATGATGCTATTCTACAACGATGGGCCATCCAGAGTCTGGAGAAAGCCACTAACAGCGTTGGAAAACCGCAATATTATTCCAACCGTTAAATTCGGAAAACTATCAGTGATGGTGTGGGGGTGTATTTCGAGCAAGGGGTGTAGGAGATTTGACCTTCATTGAGAATACCATGGATGCTAGACAATATCTGAGCATTTTACAGACACATCTCGTCAGTAGTGCACAGAAATTTGGATTCTATGAGGACAATAAGCCAATTTTTAAATTTTACCAGGACAATGACCCGAAGCATAAAGCTCATATGGTAAGAGTTTGGCTGTTGTACAACTGTGGAAAGGTGTTAGACACTCCACCACAAAGTCCAGATATGAATCCAATAGAAAATGTGTGGTCATATTTGAAAAAAAAAGTCGCAAAGCGGAGTCCAAAATCAAAAACTGATTTAAAAGCTGCTGTACTGGAAGAATGGCAGAAGATTCCAGAAACATACATACAAAACCTTATTGTTTCAATGAAACGGCGATTGCAGGCTGTATGTGACGCTAATGGCAGCCACACAAAGTATTAAAAAAAAATATTCCTGTTTTTTTAACATTGTTATTTAGTAATAAAGTTTCGTGTAAAAACACTTTATTGACAGCATAAAATTTGAATGTTTTTAGTTTTTTAATTTTATAAAATGTTTGGGTAATGTTATTTAACAATTCTTTTTGCCATTAAGTTCTAGGAAAAATATAGAATCGAAATAAATTAGAATTGAAAAAAAATTCTCACTTTTAGGTACATTTATTTTCAACTAAACCCAAAAAATTAGTTTTTTTTCGTTAGTCAAAACACTTTATTGACATACTGTATATATAGGGTTTTATATTCGAGTCTATTGCAAAAACGTGCAACCATGACGTCGTAGCTGCCGTCGCCCGTCTGCTGCAATAATAATAACACTTAACAACAGCAGCAGCAGCAACAACAACAACAAGAACAACAACAACAACAAACGATGTGCCAAGTGATTGAATTAAGTGCCAATAGTTTTGTGAGGGACCTGTTGGCTGGGTTGCGTTTGCTCTTACGTTTTTACGTTTACGTTAATTGATACAAAGTCTCAAACGTGCGTCTCTTTATCTATTTATAAAAGTTTCGGCAGCAGAGTCGCTATTTTCGCGCATTTGTTTGATTCGGACAACGAATCTGATTGCGATTGCTTAATGTGTGCGTGTGTGTGCATGTGTGCGTGTGTGCGTGTGAATGCGAATGTGTGCTCGTTTTGTAGATGTTTTCGCGTCTCGCTTGCCGTTTGGCGGCCTGTGCCTGCCCTAAAATGTAAATAAACAAAAGAAAGGTAACAGCAAACGCAGCAGCAACAGCAGCAACACATAAACAATTACAACAATAAATGTGTATATAATTGTATGCTGACCACGGACGAAAAGTTTACAGTAACCAAATCGAAATTTACGTTTGAGTTTGAATAGCAGCGGCTGCTGCCGCTGTTGCTGCCGCTGCTGATATGAACAAATTATTTGGCGGTCGATTTTTACGCATGTACCGATACCGAATTTTAAATTTATGTTTTATTGCTGACGTTATTTGTTTACACGCACATTAGCATTAATGTAACAGCGTTGCCGCTGTTGCTGTTGCTGCCGCTGTTGCTGACGTAGTTGCCGCATCCACCGCAATTCATCGTCATCTATCAAAGTGGCAGAGTGTATTAACAAAATCAAATATCGGGCCGAAACTCAAAATAGACAAATGATAAAATAAAGCATCGGCAATCAAACAGCTGTCAAATGCCAATTCAACAGCATTACGAGCTGGCAAGGTCGCTGCAGCGCCGATAAAAGCGAAAGATAATATCGATTGCGATTGCGATTGTTATTAATGCTTAATTGCCAGCGCCGCTCACTTCACAATCTCTCTATCCCCCCCTAACACCGCTCATTCCCTCACTATTTCACCCACAATGTGCGCTGTTGTTGCAGTTGCAAAAAAAAAAAAAACAATACAATCGCAAATTACAAAACTGCAACATTATTTGATTTATTTTAATTGAGCATGCGTGGGCCTGTCTGTCTGTCTGTCCGTCCGTCTGTCTGTCTGTCTCTTCGTCTGTTTGCCCACGCTTTATGCTCTAATTCAGTTTGGTTAGAAATCGATTGCAGCAACAAAGCAAAGCAACGCGAATCAGCGCAAAGCAAACGAGCAAGAAAAACATTCAATTTACAGCTGCAAACTAAGTACTTACTGTGGGCCTGGGGGATTACACCTTGCCCGCCCGCTTGCACTTCCGCGAGCCAATTTTCGTCGCCTGCGCTTAGCGTTTAAGTGAAAATTGGTGAAAATCTGGCAAATGTGTCAACAAGTGCCTAGTCAAACGGGCGTGAAACGCAGCAAAAGCAATAACAACAACGGAGAGCAGCGCAACATAGTCAACGCTTTTCACTTAATTTCAACTAAATTTCGTAGAGCTCTTCACCCGCTACCCCCCCCCCCCCCCCCCCCCTATATTCCCCGCACACCCACCCAACATCTACCAGCATGTGTGTATGTAGCGAAGATTCTTGAGCTGCAACCAAATCTAGATCCGGTTCAGCAAGTTTACCGCAAGCTAGTTACAATATACATACATACACACATATACACACACACACACACACACATACAAGAGATGGGTACATCAACGTTACTAGAGATGAGCGCGTGTAAGCACGATATATAAATATTTTTACGCAGCAGCATATAATGAAAGGCTTAAATTTCACATGCTCATAATTATTCTTTAAAAACAGCAAATGGGATATCAAAAAGGCGCCAAAGTGTTTATTAACATTTTGCAATATCAATTAATGTTGAATATATTAAATTTTGTACATGAAGTCGTGTCACGCCATCAACACACAGTTTGCATATATATATATATATATATATATATATATATACATGTGTGTGTGTGTGTGTGTACATACATAATTGACAATGTTGGCGACTCACCTGTGTAAACGGTCCGTTTGCTCGGCTTCGTTCTGCAGCTCGTTAATGGCAAAGAGCTCCGTCTCGCCATTGCGTCCGAAGATGCCATTGGGTATCTTGCGGAGGAACTTCTTTAATACGCTGGCAATGGTGAACACCGAATAGTTGTCAACGTTAACAAGTCGGCCCGCCTGCAGGAAGTGTATGAGCTTCTTCATTGCGCCCTGATGGCCGGGCGCACGAAAAACATCGCGTCGATTTGGCGACTCCTTGTTTAGTTTCAATATGAGCACAAGCAGCGGCCCAGGAATGTTGTTGTTGTGCTTGCATACCTCCTCCAGTGGTACACCGAACTTCACCTTCTCCAAGCGGTATGGATAGGCGGGAGCGGTCGCTGGATGGCCGCAGGATGTGACAACGTTGCCCAAATCAGCGGCGCGTCGATGCACGCGCTCAGCCCAGCTGGACATTTTGAGTGTGTTTGTGTGTGTGTGCGCGCGTATGTGTGTAGATATTTGTAAGCGTCTGTTTGTTTGTGTGCGGTTATTTGCCTGCGTACGCGTTATGTATATCAATTCGAGTGTGTGTGTGTGTGTGCGTGTGTATGTGTATGTGTAGGCAACACTTTTCTTTCGGGCGTTCGGTTTTCACAGAAAAATGTGCTCGTTCATAATTTTATGCTGTTTTATGCTGGTTAAAAACATGTTCCTTTACTTCCCCCTTACTTTCCACTGGAATGTAACTGCGTTGTTAAAGTAGTACTAGTAGTAGTTGTTGTTTTTGTTGTTGCTATTTTGTCTCTGTATGCATTTATCTTTCGTTGTGTCGTTGTTACTCAGCTCCTCGTACTTGTATCTGTTAATTTTTTGTTGTTTTGGGCGTTGTTTGAATTTTCTTCGAACGTAGTAATTATTTTCTTCGTTAAGATTTCTCAAATGTTAATTGAATATATCAAGATCTTTGTTTCATATATGTGCGTGTGTGTGTGTGTGTGTATACGCTTGCTTAGATTTGGCGATTTCAATTTTTTATGCTCGCGCAGTCACAGCAGCAGCCACTCCAGTATGCACTTTTTTTTAGCTTTGCTACTTCTTTTTTTTCACTGTTGCCGTCCCTTCACAGCTTAAGCGTAGATAGCGCGACGCGTTGTAGCATATTGAGCGCAGGATATATTATCCACAAGCTACGTTTTAGGTGTACCGACGCGGCTGGTTGTTGTTTTTTCTTTTTTTTTATTTAATTAATGGGTTAGTTTTCGTGGCTCTTAAAATAATTTTCGCGTCTCTGCACGCACGACTTGCAGCTCCAGCACTTGTGTATACACTAGCGATGCGCGACTTTTTTCTACTAGGGGTGTACAGATGTATTGCGTTTGCAACATATCGATATATCGCACGAATAAACTATCGGCACCCCTTAAGCTATGCTAATTACAATGTATCGATATCGATGAATAAAATGTCACCCTGCATATTATGAGTAGTATCGAATCTCTAATTATGGCGAATATGTGTAAAGTGAAATTGTTGCAAAGGAAATAACAATAATACAAAGCTACCAATAAGCCGCTTATTCATTGCAAGTTTTTAACCAAAAGAAGTACGTATTAAGCATAGTAGGCTATGAATGTATTTATAGCGCATCTGACACACATACATTCATTTAATTTATTTTTGTTTGTCTCAATTATTTTGTTGTCTGCTTCAAAACAACAGCAACAACAACACGTACAATTTTCATCTTTTTCTACGAAAAAAATAAGTTAATAATAAAAAAAAAAGGCGTCAAACGCAAGACTATCAAACGCAGCGCATTTTGGCCCAATCGCTTATCCAAAATTTTCAAGTTCCATTTGCAAAAACAATTTTTATATGTGTGAGTGCCGCTGCTCACCTTGAATCCGTAGTCGTTGGCTGTTTCCCCCTTCGAACGCGTCTACGTATATAAGATATTGACCCTGTACGCCTGATACATATTTAAAACACACGCACATGCAACACACACACACACATACACGCATCGACGTACATACCTAAATAAGTTGCTGCATAGAAACTTTTTTTCAATTGGCAGGTGAACAAATGACCACCGCCGCCTCCACATCGCAAAATGCGTCGTCGACGTTGATGGCTGCTGGTGGAGCCGGTGGCGCGGGCTCTACGACAACAACAACGTTGACGACGACACCCAGCAGCTCGGCCGTGCGTGCCCTGGCCATGGAGTACAAGTCGCTTCAGGAGGAACCAGTCGAAGGATTTCGCGTTAAGCTAATGAACGATGATAATCTGTTTGAGTGGGAGGTGGCCATCTTTGGGCCGCCAGATACACTATATCAAGGTGGCTATTTCAAGGCGCACATGAAATTTCCACACGATTACCCGTACTCGCCGCCATCCATACGCTTCCTCACCAAGGTATGGCATCCGAATGTATACGAAAACGGCGATCTCTGCATATCCATACTGCATCCGCCTGTTGATGATCCCCAAAGCGGCGAGCTTCCCTGCGAACGCTGGAATCCTACACAGAATGTGCGTACCATTCTTCTCTCGGTTATTTCGCTCCTTAACGAGCCCAATACATACTCGCCAGCCAACGTGGATGCTTCGGTGATGTATCGCCGATGGCGGGATTCCCAGGTAAGTGTTAATCAAATCGCAACATATAAAGATCTAATATATCACGCAGGGCAAGGACAACGAATATCCGAACATAATACGCAAACAGGCACTGGCCGCCAATGCGGAAGCCAAGCGCGAAGGTATTGTGGTGCCTATGACACTGGAGGACTATTGCCTGAAGCCCACGGTCAAGCCCAGCACAGAGTCCGGCCTAGATGCAAATTTCTATGATGATGATTTTGATTTGGAGACCGAAGATTTGCCAACAGACTCGGATGAGGAGGATGATGAGGATGAGGACGATGAAGATGATGATGAAGAGGGCAACGGGGATAGTGCACCAATTAGCAAAAATAATGGCAATACAAAGTGCACGAACAACGGTTTGTCGGCAAAATCAGCTGCTGCTTCTGCAACAGATGATGCCGAGTCCGCTGATGACAGCGGTAAGGGAGAGACTACATAATGCAGATAAACACGCTCCACCTTCACTCTGCTCCTGCCCTAGGCGTCTGCGTAGCATTTAAATGAAGATGATACTAAGTGTGAAAAGAAACGAATCGAGCTGCTTGAAGACGCCCCCTAAGGCCAATCGCTGGTTTATCATTTCTCTCAACACAATTATTATTTTTTTACCATAAATTATGTACAATTGTAAAACTGAAACGTGAATTATTTCTTAGCTGGCCCGCTTTATAATATCCCCCAGCTAGCCTCTGGCTAGGCACGTTTTAAACCCGTTCATAGAATTTCAAGAGCTTGCGATTCCTTTTAAAGCAACTAAATACCACTCAAAACTGAAAACGATTATACAAGATCTATATATATATATACAATATACATATGTATTAGCTATTATTATTTAAAAATATATATATACAATTACACACATCCATGTACTTGTATGTACAAATCATTAGAGGGGGCGCTACAGATGCAAATTTTTAATGAGAACTATCCTAACAAACGAGAGACATCCTAACAAAAGATAAACTAACAAGAAAAACAACATAATATACAATCAACGGATTTCAAGAACGGAAAGCAAATATGGAAAGTAGCAATTAAGGAATATTTATGTGCAAAAGAACACCAATTGCAATATTGAAACGGAAAACTGCATTGTATAATAAATTGCAAAGATTCATAAGCCAAATAAAATGACAAAAAAATAAATCTCCGATGTTGATTACTTGACAAGTGAACAATTCACATATTATTCTAATAAGCAAAGACACGGCATGTGTTCATCCTTATTAATTTAAGGAACATTCTTCGAATTATGCTATTACCAAGATTGGCATCGTTAACTGTGATAAGGTATCTATCGCAAGTTAGTCGATCGTTTGCGTACAGTACAGGTTTCTCGCTGAGATTATTTTGCTCACAGTTTATTTGCTCAACTTTTGAAAGATTTTAAATTTTGGTTATGAGTTTGGCACGCTTGCGCCATGCCAGAAGCGCCGGGGTAAGGTCCTTGTCTGTAATGGCAGGCATGCGTATAAGTGAGCTATAGACACCAATGTCCGCCACGGACATTTGATCGCCGCCAAAGTATTGCTGCTGCTGCAGCCGCTTGTCCAGCAGCCGCACCATAGCCACTTGGCTCTTGTGTGTGGTGCAGCGCAACAGTTGATAGCAAATGTCCAGCACAGCATCGATTTCGTTGCAGAGCGGCGAGTTTTCATAGCGATATTCTGTGGGGCCCACACGTCCCAAATACCTTATGATATTCACCTCGCCATAAATGGGCACATACATTGTCGGTGAGCTAATCATTTCGGTGTGCTCGCCTAGGCAGACAAATTGTAAGATTAATCTAGATTTAATTGAGTACCATAAGCCCTTGCGTACAGTTCTTCCATATTAGCGTTACGTTGATCTTGGGCAGCGCTGGATTCACAGACACTTTCGCCAGATTAGCCTCAAACTCTCGCGCTGCTGGCCCAATATCCGCCATCGTTGAGTGTGTAAAGGTCTTCACATCAATGGTGTACAGGTCGCGCCAGGCGTTCTTCAACGCCAACAATGCATATGGTATAAAGTTGGGATGTCCATTGACGACCACATCATGCAGTGGCACCTGTCTCAAAACATTTGCATAGTATTTTATATGGTTATAAGGCCAAAGTTAACCCACTTCTTTTAGTCCACCGTTGTGGTAAGCTGTTGTATGCTGGACGGTCTTGCCACACACACGCACACCCAAGCTAGCGCGTATTTGTCCCAGCTGCGCTTTGAGCTCCTCGAGTTGTTTCAGCACCTTTTCTTGACGTTCCAACACAGCTGTTGTGTCTTGGTTCTACAAAATTAAACACACCAAAAAGGCAATGCACTGCATCAATAAAGGACAATTCAGTTTTCAAAACTGACTGCTAAAAAAAAACTAGAGATGGGCGCGTGAAAATATCAACGTAATAGCATATCCTTTAAAATATTTTGTTTATCGCTTCTGAGGATACCCGCTCGTTAAATATATAAATATATTTAATAATTCCATTAAGTTTGTTGTTAGCAACAATACATAGTGTTAATAAGCATGTGTTTAGATACCCTGGAATTATTTCCCGGCACATTTTCATATACGGTTTATAACGGGTCGAAAAATCATGCGCCCATTTCTAATGTGAACACACGAACACAAACTTGAAAAGCACAGTGCGTGTTATGCATTTTGTTAGTCAGTAGAATTTATAAATAGACATAAATTTGTGTTTAGCATATACATCTTTTAACCTTTAGCAAATGTTGTATTTGTCTGCCTAAAATGTCCAAATCAAGTGCACAGATGCCAGTTTTTGTATTGTTGCTCTCAACCTCCGCAGCGCCACTGCATTGAATTTGATGGGCCTTTTATTTTGATATCATGTGGTGAATGAAAATGAAATGATTTTTGAGTTTTCACACAGGCTCAGCACAGAAATAAGCTCCTAGATGGAGCATTGGCAACCAATTGAAAAGCAATTCACTGGCACTTTAGTCACTCTGACAATCTGTTCCAGCAACGCTCATCTCTAATTTGGGCCACGGCAGCTGCGAACAACACTTACTGCGGGGCCTGGTGTAGCGCCGGCGGAGAGGCTGACATTCCTTAATTCGTACATACAGGTGGGCAGTGTAATATCAAATTGTGGCAACAAAGTCTTCAGCTCGTACATTTCACGATCCAATTTGGTAGCGGGTTTAAGTAGATACGACACAGAAAAATGTGCTTGGCGGTAGCGATGAGTCAAGTCTATTATCGATTTATCGGATTTTTTACGATGTCTATCTATTTTGAGCATGTAATCAATATCGATAACCGATTAATACACTTTGATTATGTTTTTCACTGGCAAATATGTTGACCAATTTTCTCACTTCAATGATCTTTTCACAGCCAACAATAATATAAGCATAAGAATGCCATTGTATAAATTTAGTAAATTATGAATTTAAAAATATTATGCTGTGCCACTGCTACAAATTCTAATGACTGCTAACAGATAATTGAATTTAACAGCCTTAATCGTCTTATCGATAATTCGATATACAATAATGACATTCTCTGGGGCGTTGACATATACATTTAAAACGAGTTGACATTCCCATCTGATGGCGTCTATTTTTTAAAACATAAGAACAGACTTATTTGTTTACCAGACCAAATATGAATAATAAAAAATCAAGAAGTTCGGTGAGTGAAAATCATATCTCAAAAACGGAATACATCTAATACCCATTCTGTTAGCTAAAAAAAGGGCCGACACAGGCGGATGAGGAGCCTGATCCTGTCCGTACTATAAAGCGTCGCATCAGTTTTAGCGGCAAAAAGTTTATAAGGTAACAAAATTTAATAATATATATATATATTTAAATCATCGCTTTTGTTTGAAAAATACAGAGAATTTGATACTACGGAGAAACCACGCGACTACGACAACTCGTATGAAATATCGGACCATACCAACGGCGACGATAGCTCCGGCCAAACCCATGGCACTGTGGCAGCGTCTGTACTGCAAAGTACAGCCCACATCTCCACATTGGCCAACGAGATGGACAAGGAGAATACATCGCCCATAGCAACAACTATAGGTTCAGTGTACGAGCAGAATTCTCGATTAAGCGATTTTACACTCAAACTGCAAACGAGCATCAATGTGACGCTGCTACCGGATGAAATGGCCAAGCAACATCGGCGAGTGGAATCCCCGGCGCCTTTAGAGTCAATGTCAAGAGACAGTTTGTCATTGTATGAAGCGGAACGTGTAAAGCTGCACGAAAATAGTGTATATAGATTGCCAGTTTTTGAGAAGACTATGGATCTGGTTCCAGAGAAGCTTGCTTTTGCTGAGGTATGTAAAAGAATCTAAATCAACACCGTTTTCTTGTTGATGTCAAGCAAATTTACTTTGTGCTGAACGTAACGTCATAACGTCAACATCAAATGTTTGAGGATTACAGCGTCCCTAATTTAATGACATTTATTAAACATTTCAGCTAGAGCCCAAGCATCTGGAAACGAGAGACGAAAAAAAAACTATTGTTATACCTGCGGACATTAGTTGTGTGACTCAACAAGTCAGCCAGAAGACAGTGCTATTCGAGAACAAAGACATATCTTGTGATTTTACCGACATTGGTAGGGATAACAATGAAAAAAGCCAGAAGCCGAATGCCTAAATTATGAAATCCTTTTATTTTTCAGAGCCAAAAGAAAGTTGTTGGGCTGCGGGTGCGACGGCAAAGCCGACGCAAGAAAATGAATCCATTGATGTGGTAGAAAATGATTATATGAATTATTTGCCAGATGATTCGACGTTGTCTTCGCCGTTAATACCGTTGGATGTGATATCAGAGAACGGGATTAGCAAGAAATTGAACTTTCGGCAACTGAACGATGCCTTGGACTCTGGCCAAATACAGTTGTTTCCCAACGGTCCGAAAACACCAACTACTGATCGCAAAGCAAAGCAACGTCGTTTTTGGCATGGTCTAGAGCAGCAGCCCGCGGAACAGGATGCATCCCTCAGAGAAGTTTTAAAGCCACGCGGCACGCTTAATTTTAATGAGAGCATGATGATGTCGCCCATACCGCAAAGGCCCGAGCCTAATCTAATGGCAACAGCAGACCATTTCGAGCAGTCGGTCAAGGCCAAGAGCTCACAGAACCCCAGACGCAACTATCGCTTCTCCCAGGCGGACGAGCTAATGCTAGACAATACTAATTTTCTTGTCCATGCCAAAATAGGCGATGAAACGCAGTCACGAAATAGCTCCAAATCCTCATCGCGACGGGAAACTACCTACAATAATACTGCTATGGAATTGGATGATCTGGAAAAATGTGAAGCGGCCATGAGAGCTGCTCTGGAAAGCGCCAAGCACAAGGAAACTATGCAACGCCTAGAGCCGATGGAAGAAGAAACTTTATTAAGTCCCTGCAAAAATGCAATCAACACAATACATAAGCCAGGTGCAGTTCAGCAAGGCAATCAAGCAGATTTGAATCCTCATAAAGCACAGCCAACTCAGCACCGCAGTAAGCTAAGGCAATCTTTGCACATGTCTGAACCCATTGAAGAAACCTCCTTTGGCTCGCACAATGAGTTAAAGTCAGTTCCGCCTGCTGCTTCAACAATATCGCAACGTATGAGGCATGGGCAAACATTACACATGGCCGAACCCATTGTAGACGATCTCGTAACACCACATATTGAATCGGCAGCACATCAAATGAAAAGCAATACCCGCAGACAAACTATACACTCTGCGGAAGCCATGGACGAAGATATCGTAATGCCTAGCCAGGAATTGCCCTCAAATTCGTTAGCTCCCACAGTTGAGAAGCAGTGCAGCAGGCGCCGGCAAACATTGCACATGTTTGATTCCGTTGAAGAAGACTCATTTGGCTCGTATAAAGGCAGCAAGACAACTGCTGGTTCCATGAAATCCAAACACAATAAGTACAGGCAAACGTTGCTCATGGCTGAACCCATTCAGGAGGATGTCATGGGGCCACAAAAAGAAACGATGCAGCAACCGTTGGAGCAGCAGATCAGCGGGCGAAGACAATCACTTAATCTGGACGAAACAATTAGAGAAGATTCTTTTTATTCGGCGACTACTGCTTCAGTAGAACAGCATGACAAAAAAAAGAGACACACGATGCACATGGCTGAATCCATTGAGGAAGATTTTGTAAGACCACAACAAGACTTACATGCTCAACCGGCAGCTCCTACGATGGAAGAGCAGTACATTAGACGTAGACAAACATTACACTTGGTTGAATCCATTGAAGAAATTGTCGTTCAACCCCAATTAAAGTTTACTGCAGTGGAACAACAGAACAGCAGGCGCAGACAAACATTGCTTCTGGCAGATCCCATTGAAGAAGACTTGTTCTGTTCAATGCCCAACGATGCCGATCAGCATAAAGATAAATTCCCTGGGGATAAACCAATTAACGACGAATTGACGCGACAGTCAGAAACTCCTGCAGTTGGCTTGCAGTCCAATAGGCGTAGACAAACATTGCACATGGCTGATGCCATTGAAGAAGACTCTTTCTGTTCTATGTCCACAGCAATCAACTCGCATAGACATACATTACAAAAGGATGCGCCAATTGCAAAAGATGTACCAAAGCCGCAAGAAGAATTAAGGCGACAGTCAGAAGCTCCTGCAGTTGGCCTGCAGTCCAATAGGCATAGACAAACATTGCACATGGCTGATCCCATTGAAGAAGACTCCTTTTGTGCAATGTCCGCAGAAACCAACTCGCCTAGACACACATTGCAGAGGGATGCGCCAATTGCGAAAGATGTACCAAAGCCGCAAGAAGAATTAAGGCGACAGTCAGAAGCTCCTGCAGTTGGCCTGCAGTCCAATAGGCATAGACAAACATTGCACATGGCTGATCCCATTGAAGAAGACTCCTTTTGTGCAATGTCCGCAGAAACCAACTCGCCTAGACACACATTGCAGAGGGATGCGCCAATTGCGAAAGATGTACCAAAGCCGAAAGAAGAATTAAGGCGACAGTCAGAAGCTCCTGCAGTTGGCCTGCAGTCCAATAGGCGTAGAGAAACAATGCACATGGCTGATCCAATTGAAGAAGACTCTTTCTGTTCTATGTCCACAGCAACCAACTCGCATAGACATACATTACAAAAGGATGCGCCAATTGCAAAAGATGTACCAAAGCCGCAAGAAGAATTAAGGCGACAGTCAGACGCTACGGCAGTTGGCCTGCAGTCCCATAGGCGTAGAGAAACAATGCATATGGCTGATCCCATTGAAGAGGACTCTTTTTGTTCAATGTCCACAGCAATCAACTCGCATAGACGTACATTACAAAAGGATGAGCCAATTGCGGAAAAAACCTTAAAGCCGCGAGAAGAATATAGGCGACAATCAGAAACTCCTGCAGTTAGCCTGCAGTTCAATAGGCGTAGACAAACATTACATATGGCTGATCCCATTCAAGAAGACTCTTTCTGTTCAAAACTAACTCCCGTTCCCGTAGAAGCTCAGTCCAGCAAGAATGGAAAAAGTTTGCCCGTGACAGAAGCTATTGATATCGATGAGATTAAATCTCATGCACAATTGCCAGCCACATCAGCAGCGCACCCAGCTGAAAGGCCAAGCACCAAACATAGGCAAACTTTGCTCATGTCTGAATCCATTCAAGAAGATATAACTAGCGCGCACAAAGTGACCAACGCTAAATCAAAGACAAGGCAAGCATTAAATATAGTTGAGCCCATTGAGGAAGCCATTTGCAATGCAGCAAAATCCTTAAAACTACAAGCAGATCCTTCCATCGACCAATATAAGAAAAATGCAGGTCGAACATATTTCAAGGAGGAAGCTATGGAGGAAGACATCAGTTGCAATCTATCAAAGCCGACCACTCCACCCAAGTTACAACTAACAAGGAAGCCAAGACACACATTATACAGAGAAGAAGCCATGGATGTAGAAATGCCAAAAGTTCCGCCACCTGAGCAGCGCGTCAGCAAGTCCAGACCCACGCTGCTGTTGTCGGACTCGCTTGAGTTGGAATTGCTAAGCCAAAGCGCCACCGAGGATATTAATAAAGCGAGAGAAGACAGTCCTTCAGATTCAGCAGAGTGGTTAGCCCAGAGGCTTAAGGCACGTGAAGCATTGACCAAGTCAATGCCAGTTAAGCAGGAATTTCCAAGTCCAGATCAGATTGAGAAAGGGCCACAATATCAAGCTGTAGACTCAAAAAGCGTCTTAAATCGATTTATCAACCGTACAAGTGTGGAAACCCCTGAGATGAATAAAAAGCAGAAGAATTGGCATCAAAATTTTTTTCCCATCACGCCCGGTCGCTCAATGATTGAGTATGAGGACCTGGAGGAAGAGTGCAAGGTTGAGAGCCCAACTGCGAAGCCAGCGGTCCAATCTATATACAACAATATGGATATGGAGCTTGACATGGACACCTCAAATTTTGGCACTCCCAAGCAAACGCCTTCGTTTACCGTGAAGCGCTTGCCAATACACTTGACACCTAATTTGCCGCAGCCCAAAAAACGCAACACGCACTTGCCAGTCAAAATGGAGGACGAGAATGTGTAAGTCAATGTTTTCTCCAGTCATAAGGCAGTACCTAATTTTGTATCAATAAATTTCAGTAGCTCAGCGATTGAACTGGAGGTATCAGCACAAAAGCTGGAGCAATCAACGCCCGCTAGGAACCGATCACGAATTCCCGTCTTATCCAAATCATTGAATTCACCTTGGCGTGAAACGGAGCAGCTGGACGGCACTGTGCAGATGGTGAGGGCAGTAATGATGGGGCAGACACGCTGCCAGAAAATGGAGATCACTCACCTGACGGAAGATAAGGCGAAAACGCAACCAGATATGTATGAGGATAACCCCATAACCATTTCGGATGTGTCAAATCATTTTACGGCGCAGCGAGAATTGGCCAAGCGTTGTCACGCCAATAAAGCTGAGCAGCAGGCCAAGGAATCATCCATTGAAAGTCGCGGCTCAAATGAGCATTGCAATAAAAGCTATGCGACAACCCATAAACGGTTTATAAATCTAAGTGGCGATACCGTAATCCTTGCCGCTGCTGAAGTTCTTGACGATGAGTCGGAGGTTTATGAAATTGATAAGACACGACTCAGCCTGGTGTCGACCTTGCTGGACGAGGAGGACGACAGAGAAAAAGAAACGGCTCATAGCAACAATATCGAATCAGAGTCCAATGCCGAATCTGATGCTTGTCTTGAGCAGCTGAATCCACCGGCAGTGGCTGGAGCAGCGGATGCGTGCAAAAAATGCAAGCATTGCAGGCGTTCAATGGACAATGCGACGGCGCGCAACATCTCTGCGGATTCGTTCGAATTGCCGGATAGCCCTGATCTAGAAGAGCAGTTTGAACGTTTGGATAGATTGCGACAACGGCCACGTCTTGAGGATGTGCACAAGTATTGGGAACTGAAAAAACTGGAACTTAACCCCGACGATGAAGATGAAGAAAAGACGCACAACCCCATAAGCGATACAAGTAGCTTAAGTCTATCACAAATGCTTGAGATGTTTAACAACAAGTGCGAAGAGTAAGTAAAACGATGATATCCAAAACGATTTGATACTTAAAATGAACCATTATTTATTAAGGTACAAGCAATGCTGTCCAAAACCAAAACCAGTTGAAAGGTTTGTCAAGTGCTTGGAGGACTCATTGCACGCCCAGTTGCCCAATTGGATATTTCATGATAATCTTAAATATTATCGTAAATACATTTTCTCACATCGTAAAATAACCACATTTCAAATCGTTATTGATTATGAGCCGTTGGACTTACTGGAAAGTAAGATACGCGTGAGCAGCATTAAAATGAGAAAATCGAACATACCTCCGAAGTGTAGGTGTCTCAATTTAAGACTCTTGACTCAATTTTTAACTGAATTTATTTTACTTACAGTCCCATTATGGAATGTCTACGATCATCTGATGGATTTTCAGCTAAAGCTTAATCTGCCACTGAACCTGGATCGCCTGTTCGATGGCAACGAAGTTGAAGATTTTGTCAAATTCTTACACCACATAGATGGAGTCTGCTCAAGAGTATATAGCATATGTAAAAACATGAAAATGGTGTTGACTACAGCAGGAGCACGGCTAATAAGGTGAGACCTCAAATCAGTTTAATAATTTGATCGTTTAATTGTTTTATTATTTCAATTATTAGAGAATCAAATCGCATTATTCTGAGAAAGACAGTGCGTCGATTAATTAAGAAGGAAGATGAGGCATTTGCGCGTATGGAGAAAATCAACTTCAAAATTGAAATCGGTAACGTTCAGGAGATCTCTTTCAAGGATATTCTGCAGCCAACTCTATATCAATTCGATGAGAAAATTCAATTTTTACCAAAGGGTATCGCATTTTTGGACGCCTTCTTGCAAAATCCCGATCAATTTCTAAGGCGTAATGTCGAACACAATAATTAAAGTTTTATTGTGGAAGATTTGGTGAGCCAGAGATGTAACCAATCCGACTTGTTTTATACATCAAATATTAAGATATTCAAAGTTATGTAGTAATTATTTTAGATGTACATTACATTTATAATCAGTTTGCCAATCAATACTTTTAAAGACTTTTTTGTTGTTCTCTTTTTTTTGTTTGCATTCTAACTAAAAATTAAAGTTCTTAAGTTATTTACATTGAATATAACACAATATAAAAGTCGCTTTTTAAATAATTGTTCATATTGACATATTTTAAGTATGGCATTAAGTTATACCAAACGGAAACAGAAATAAATGTGAATATTCAAAAATTAACGGAAAATATTTTTAGATGAAAATATACCATCGTTCAAATAAATACTGTATGAAAAAGCTTGTAATTTATGTGTAATTTGAATTCCAACTGACGTTTAATAATGTAAGCTAATATGAAGCTTAGTATTTTAATAGTATTTTTGTAGTTTTTCGTATTTTAGTCTCTCTGAAAATCGGCCACATTTCAATGCTGGAGCTGGTTATCAAAACAAAAATCGTAAGAAAAATTGCAACAAACACAAACACTAATAAACGCAAAAGCATTGGAAGCATACGATTGCAGTATTGAATGACATGTGGTTTGATCCATCCGGATACTATGTGGTTGCCTTGAGCACTCTGCTGCTGTGCATTTTAATAGCCCTTTATTTTGCCAACTTTTTGAAGGACGATTCTGTGAGTAGCCAATTGAAATAATTCCACCCCCGAAATGCATTCGAATGCATATACTTAATACACAGGAACTAGAGGATGAAGGCCTTGGCGATGACGAGGTGCGTTTGGAGGACGATCCGGTAATGAAAGCACAGTTGCAAGCGCGCCTGCAAAGGGAAATCGATGATGATGAGGCCTACGAGGAAGAGCAGGAACCGTTAAGCGAGAGCGATGCAGAGCAAGGACCTGGACCAAAGGCGCCCAATTACAGCAATCTGGTGGGAAAGTTCAAGGCCAAGCGATACCAGCACAAGCTGGAAAAGAACCTATCACCCAGCCAAATTGAGGAGGAGCGACGGATCGAGCGTGAACAGTTGGCGGCGATTTTTGAATTGCTGCGCAAACAGGAGGACGAATTGAATCTAAAGGATCGCATAAGCGATTGCGAGCTTAAGCAGCAGGTGAAATTGTATCGTTAGACAGTTTATCAACCAGAGCGTGTGATTATCACTTTTGTGTGCATGGATATCGGGAAGCTTCTGTATCTGCTTAGAATGGCAAGGTTTAGGCTGGAGCCTTAATGTTAAATACTTAACACGAAGATCCTGGAAGAGGCAGCGACGAGTGTCATTAATTTACAATTAATAGTCAAAGACGAATAGATTTTATTCTGTATTTTAGTGTCTTTTATATATATACATGATGTATATAAGTTATAGAGAAAGCATGTTCTACTTCAAGTATTAACTAATTACGAAGTGTGTTTGGGATAACTTAGCCCAATGGACCTTCATATAATTATAAATGTGAGTTGATATTCTTGTTGCATCCCCATGGAAATATATGATTTATGCAATTATTCTAGTTGAAATACAATCTGAATGTACAAAATCGAAAACATCTGCGAATGGCTTTTCAGTATGCTGCACAGGGCCCAGTAAAGAGATTGATAGCAAAGTAACTACAGCAACCCGTAATAACTTCTCTCTGGAGGCAACATAGCAACCGAACAATTTCTATGACAACCAAAAATTTATTTATGTAGCATTCTGTCCACATAATTTTCTACTCGCAAGCTGGAGAAGCTAGTGAAATCATTTCAAAAAATTGAATTGAACAAAGAAGAAACGGTATAATGGTAAACTTTGTGTACCTGGAGGAGCTTTACCTGTTCGTGGAGAGCATTCGTTCCTTTCAGGTGCGCGATGTGGGCAGCAGCAAATGGTTGGAGGTCCATGAGATGATAATTAAGCTGAGCCAGCAGGCGGCACTTGAGGTGGCCGAACAGCGTGAGGAGGAAGTCAAGGAGTTTCTCGTTTCCCGAGACAAGCTATCGGTGCTCATAAATGAGGCCTATTGTGTCAGTTTGTGGAAATCACGTGTGCTGCCCCATCTCCTGGAGATTGATCCGAATCCCCAGGCAACATTCCTGATTTACACGGTGCTGTACCATGAGGCTGCTGTGGTGGCATTGCTCGATCTATGCCTTTACCATCCCAGTGGCTGCGAATCGCTTCAGGATTCGGTGCTAGATTTGATCGATTACTGTGCCCAGGGCGTTGCACAGGTCATCGGCTTGGTTAGCATGGGCTACCACGAGAACGAGACCAAAGTAGATGTGGACGAGGCCGTGCTCACCGAGCTGGAGCGTCAAAAGCGCGATCTCATCTATAAGATTGGCCTGCGCTGCGTTTCTCTGCTCAGCTACCTGGCTGACAATGTGTCGCTGTTCCATATGGGCGCAGCTCGTCGCATGCTGGTTACTCACGATATACCCTGGCTCATGGTCGATGTACTCTGCTTTCGGCCCTGGCAACGCAATACCAGCAAGGGCTTGGAGAAGTTTATCGACGAGAAGTGGAGCGCCGTTGAGGACGCAGCTAAAATTATAAAGCCAGAGGCCCAAGCCTGGTTCTGTGTTCGCCAGCTACTGCTCAGCCCGCAGATAGTTGATAATTATCCCTTGAACGAGGCGCGTTGCAAACAGATATCCAAGGTAAATAGATGTAGATGCAATGAATCCAGGCTAATGCTTTTCATCGCAGCTGCTGGGCATGCTACACGAAACGCTGTTGGACCAGCTGCCGGTGCTGATCGAGCTGAAGCAGTACATCAGTCGCTTAACACTCAGTGGGAATACTGGCAAAAAGGCTCAGAATCTTATTTTAGAGGATATGCCACAAATTCAGGATAACCTCATCAAGGAGGTGGAACGCGACGGCGGCTTTTATCAGGTAGCTCAGAACCAGGACGGCGTATTCCTCAACAACAATCGAGAAGAGATCTGCGCACTGGCCACCAAACTGAGCAGCGCTTATGGCACAGAGCTTTTATGTGAATTGGAGCAACACATGGCCGATTTGGAACTGAAGAAGAATGAAACCAAGTCAGATGATAGTCCTGCTGCCGACGAAACGGAGGAAAAGGTCCACAAATGCGGCACTTGCCAGGAGCCGGCAAAAAAGAAATGCGCCAACTGCAAGCTGGTTCATTATTGCTCCCGGTAGGTTTCACAATTGTCGCGCGAAAAAACTTCTCACAATTAACAAATGAGTTCCTTTTTTCCTATTCCAGAGAGTGCCAACTTAAGGATTGGCCGCAGCACAAGGACACGTGCATGGGCAAGGCTGTCTAGCATAACTGTTTTATCTGTTTACTTTGTATTGACGTTAATCACACTAAAGAACATTCCAAAAATTGACGTTCCGCTCTGTTTTTTACAAAATTTTTGTAGGTATTTTTTTCTTTATTTAGCAATTAAAAACTTGCCAGGTAGTCTCTCATTCAGCAGACAGGGGAACGGCTACGGCAACATGTTTAGCTGTTCTGTCTGAGATGGTCCTTAACTACATCCAATGCGGGCGTCTCCTCACCGTAATCCTTAATGACAACCACAGAGCAGCCGCACACCTTGCGTGGCTTGCCCTCCTTGTCGATCTTGCACAGACCAGACCACTCGCCCAGTTTCTTGTGCGAATCGACACGAATCAGCGGAATCTGATGCTCATTGCACAAGGCTGTGATCAGTTTCTTGTAGTTGGGCTCATCAAAGGATTCGGCCAGAATGCAGAGGACAGCTTGACGCCTATACAAAAAAAAAAATAAACGATTAGAATCAATTTTCTCCAAGCTTATGTTTACATTAATTGGCTTTGTACGGTTCTCAGTAATTGGAAAATTTGCGATCAATGTAAAATTCATAAACACGGACCAATTAATCTCATCAGCGTGTGCCAAAACAAAAGCCAAAGAATTTTAAGTTCATGATGTTGTTGCTTACTTGTCCAAAGCCTTGCAGGCCTGGTGGATGCCATGGACGAGTCCATCAGCGATCAGCGACTTCTTTAGAACTTCCTGTAGCGCGGTGTTTATGTCCATGGCGCCGCCAAGAACGGGCGCTGCGGAGGGCACATCTCTGCCGGGGGAAAAATCACTTGTTAGTCGAAATTACAAATGATCGTCACAGAATGACGAATTGAATAATATTTTAGCACTTTTAACTCAGTAATTGGAAGGTTTGAAATCAATATAAATTCATAAACACGGACCAATTAATTTCATCAATGTAAAATTGTTTAGTTAAAAGTCAAAGCATTTGCCACTTACACATCAACGTCGGCCATATCTGAAAGGTTGAGGCTGCACTGCACTGTAAATGATTATAATAAAACTATTATTAGATATGATGGCGCACATAATTGTAAATTAAATTCGTGGAGGCGGCTTCAGCACAAAATTAATATGCTATCGTACCTTTTTGACAACCGGAAAGAAAGAGAGCCAAGCTATGTTGCGGCCAACTTCATGTTTTTAAATCAGTGATGCTTTGAAACTTCGATATCAGCTGTACACACTAATACCATACAAAAGCTTGTTGCTCTATAACTCGTTTAGGTTATTCAATTTAAATAATTAAGACAAATTAAACTATTGATTCTTAAATTTTATATTTCACTTAACATTTTTAAATAAGTTCTCAAGAAATAAAAAATATATCAAATAGCTTAAGTCTAGTGGAAACGATGTAAGTTACAACTATCGTAGGCCATATGATTGGGTATTTTTTAGCACATTTTTAGCGGCTGTTCTCTGTGTCATTTTGCGCCCAAAATCTTAGGAGCCAAGCAGCTCCCGCAACTCGTCAAATACGCTAAAAATAGCTCGTAATAAGTCTAATTAAAATAAGTCATAGTTCATAGAGTGATACAAAGTCAATTTTAAGCTACAGCTTCTCAGTGCAATAACGTGTTTATGTTTACATAAGCAATCGGCAACAACCAAGACAACAACAACACCATCTAAAATGACAAGCAAGCTACAGTAAGTTGTGTGAAACGGTCCCGACTGCCCTCAGCCAACACCTTGTAGTTTATTAATGTCTACAAATGGCACCACGTGCTCGTATTGGTTCGTGCGTCTAATTGCCGAAATTTACAGCAACATGTGAAAATCGTGTGCCTTGCTGCTTGCTGCTCTGACCGACGCTATTGTGTATTTGTGTGTTGTTCCCTTATCTACGCTGAATTGGGTCTCCACTTTTGATATAATTGGCTGCAGGTCGTTCTATGAATGAGCTCCCGAAATTGTTGCTATAGAAATGCGATGCGCTGATAAGAAACATTCTT